TTATTCTTGAAATTGGTTGAAGTCTTATTGGTGTTTTTAAAGTAATAGTCTGCTGGTCAAGGACTTGAGAAATTGGATGGAGGTGGTTTTACTTGGATATAAACAAACAAACATTGCAGAGGAATCAATAAGTGCGAAGATGCATTTAATTTGTAAATTTAGAAATTATTTAAGAAGTAAGTTTTAAAAGTATTACCAACATATTTAAAGAATAGAAAAGTAATAATAAAAATTTTAAATGATGCAAATATTCTTTATGTACACTATGCAAAGGAAAAGATCTATATCTCCCATTTTACTGGGCCAATTAACAAAATTCAACTTGCATTTTTCATGTCTCGAAAGCACAACTTAGAATGTGTATTAGATAACAGGTATTTTGACACACAATCGGACTTTTTCCGAAATAATATACCTATTTTTTCCATATTTCGATTCTCTGACTCAAATTATGCCAAACTGCCTAGTTTTGTAAAAATCGCACGAGTAGTTGTAAAAAATTAGCTAAAAAATTTTAGCTCCTCATTGTTAATTGAATTTGATATATATTTATTATTAATATATTTTTTATTAAACTTATTTCATTCTTTTTTTATTAAACTCCTTCTTCCAGAATTTTAAATTTAGGCTTAAACCAAATGTAATTCACATATATTTTATTTAAAAAATTTGTATTTTTAAATATGTTTTATAAATTTTTTGAAAAAACATCGTTTTAAAGTAGACCTATTTTTAGGCACACCTACAAAAAATTTTTTTATTCAAAGTTTTTCTAAAATATACATGAATTTACATATTGGAGCATTTTGAAATTTGACAATTTTTTAGCGATAATAACGCCAAACGATAACAAGCACTTTGTTGAAATATTTGAAAGTATGAACGTTGAGTTTCTTCCTGCTTGTCTGCAATGGAAAAAAAAAAAAAGGAAAATAAGTTGCTTTAAATTAAGAAGTTCGCCAAGTAAATTATTCTTTTCAAAAACTGAAAAAAGTATGGCAAGATAAATTTTTCAGTTTCTCTGTAAATTTTGCACCAGATTTTACAAAATTTAATATTTAGGCATAGTTTGAGTTGTGGAATCGAAATACAGAAAAAAAAAAATGGCATGTCATTTTAGAAAAAATCCAATTTTGTGTCAAAATACCTGTGTTAGATTGATGTTATATATAAATCTAATACAGTCAAAAGTCGTTAATTTGGACACCCTTAATCCGGACCTCAAAGCTAAAAACTTTCTGCGCATGCGCCGCATTGGCACATTCGCACAGGCGTTTTACGCGTGCGCGTAAGACCTTGACTACTGCGGAAGTGCAGAATACGTTTTCGCCTGCACGTTTAATGTATAATGGACGGTGTAAGCTAAAATTATCTAATTATCTATTTCAGTTAATGATTGCGTTGTTTTCCTTAATCTTCGAATTGGATCCCGCTTATTATTTTTTGCAGACTGTAAGAGCAATTTTATAAAAGTAAACTTGAACTTTCGATTATGTCAAATAGAATTTCCGATGCTGGAACTTCCAAAGGATCTACAAAATGAAAGTATGTTTCGATGTCCCACAAACAAAAAGTGGAATTGCTGCAAAAAATGGATAAAGACATGAAGAATGTGACAGAGAGGTTAGTGACAAAAAAATTTCCATTGACAAGTTAGTCGGTATTCTCGGCACAGCAATTAACGGGACTTGAACAGCGAAACTTTGTAACTGAACAAGAAATTATTAATTAAAGAGAAAGTATTATCACATAAAACGAAGCAACTTAAACAACTTACATTGAAAGAAGTGTTTAATAAAGTAAACAAATAAATATTAAGCTTTTTTTTATGTAAATTTTGATACCCTTTAGATCATAATTGTTCTTTATTTCATAAATTACGGTTTCATATTTTTAATTTTAGAATTTCTGCATGCCATCTTACGAGATTTAAACTGATGATCTATAATCCGGAATCGCCGAAGTCCGGATTAACGACTTTTGACTGTCTATATCTTAAGTCACGTCTTCGAGACATGAAAAACGAAATTTGAATTTCGTGAATTGGTCCAGTAGAACGGGAGATGCAGAACTGTCCCTTCTCCCCCCTTTTTTTTTCGCAGTGTACTAGCAGCTTAATGAGACCTCAGCTCATATAATAGGAGGACCGGAAAGTAATGTCATTTCTGCGCATGTCGACAACAACATGCTAAGGGCAGAAGTGGAAGCAAATCCATGTCAAACATTCTTAACCAACCTTGGTCGGCCATCCAAGAACATTTAAAGCAGAATGGAAAAATAAGCAAAGCAATAGAAAAGGCATCATTCTGCAAAGCGACAATGCAAGACGGACACTGGAAAAAATGAATTAATTGGGATGGGAAATGCATCACCCACCATACTCGCCCGATATTGTACACTCAGATTTCCATTTATTCCGATCCCTACAACATTTTTTTAGTGCCAAAAAATTTGAATGATGTCCAAAATGCCATCTTGAGATATTTTACTCAAAAACCAATTGATTTATATCGGTCCGGGATTGAAAATCCGCACACTAGATGGCAAAAGGTTGTTGATAACGCGAGTGATTACATTATTGATTAAAAATAAAAACGTGTTAAAAATTTATTCATGTGAATTTAATGTAAGAAAGCGACATTACTTTCCGGTCCCCCTATTACATTTTAATCCAATTTATTTTGGGGGGGGGTATTTTATGTCTATTGATGCTGCTAGTATATAACTGTCAAACCAGATAATACAATGATATACTTCTGTTCATATGTTTGTAACATTTAAAATATTTGTGTATAAGTGTATGAAGCTCCAGATTATGCAGCTATTTGGAAAAAAAAAAAAAAAAAAAATCATTTTGTGTAAAGGAGCCTTTTTAAATGATAGAATGGCACATATGTACCTTCGTTATGCAAGTAAGCTTTGCACACACGGTACCTGAAATTGCACAAGTATTAGAATTTAAATTGTATTTAAAATGTATTATAATTTATACAACATCAATACTGTATTTTCATTGACAGATGGTTATTTTTTAAGAGTAATTTTTGGAGAAAACCTCTTCATTCTATTTATTCTTTAAAATTTCCAAAATAAAAGTATTTCCAATTGAAAGAATATTTTTTGCAGACCTCATGTACAAGTGATCCTGTGAAGTAAATGCATAATTTTATCTTGAATAATTAAGTTTTTTCTTTATTAAGTTAAAAAAAAACATGAAATTTATTTATGGTGAAATAATATAGTTTTTTTTACCTGTCATTTTGAATTGCTCATTTAAAATGCAAGAATTTATGTACTTTTAATTTCTGGAGGACTGATTCATAAGTTAGTAGGCATGTTGTAATTTCTTAAGCTTAAAATTGTTTCAGGTGTTAAACTGATATTTGGATACCAAGATTATAGTGCAATATCTTTTTAATACTGGCATTTTTATATTAAAATTTCTGTTTGAAATTTTAATTAATAGCTTAGGCTATTAGATTGTAATCTGAAGTTTTCAGAGTACAATTTTTTTTAGCTCGAAGTGGCAATTTGCCCAGAAGGGCTATTTTGTATTGTTTTTAGCATTTTGCATTGATTCACTATAAATAGCGAATCACTTTTTAAATTGTTGCCACCAAATATTAGAATTCTGTATTATATTTGAAGAAATTAAATAATGAAGAATCTGCATAAATGTATGTATGTTTCTCGCATTGTGATAAAACAACGGTATCTAGAGCCATCAAATAACATGTTTCCACCTGAATATGGGCATTTGGAAGCCCAAATTTGGAATTTGTTTTATTACCTCTTTCATATTTTGTAAAGCATTTATGAGTTTTTGATTAACCCTTTGCGGCACAGTGTGTCCGGTCTGGACACACCTAAAAATTTCCTTCTGTACGCACAGAAAAATTGAATGAAAAAGGATTTCTAGGTTACTCTGAACCTTCTTTATTTATAGTAGATAGCAGCTCAATACAAACCAGTCCATATATTTTAGCCATGTTTAGTTTTTTAAGACCCTCATTTTTCAAAGAAATGTTCCAGATTTTTTTTAGCGTATAAAAGGAATTGTTTGAAAAGAAATTTCTCTGTTATTTTTTGGGCTGTATGCTAATCTCCTTATTCTATATTAGTTTTAAATTTTTACCTTGAAATCTTGCCTAAAATCGAATGGCGAACTCTAGATGTGCCCAGACCGGCCTCAACGATAATCTAGGACAACTGAGAGTCTGTATTCATTGTTTCTCTGCATCTCATTGGTCAGTTCACTGGCAACAATGCTCATTTCAGCACTCTTTTCGAATCTCTATTCAATCAGTGTGCCCACTTTGGGCACCCCCACAGAATTAAAACAATAAGTGGTATCTTAAAAAAATTTTACTTGTGTACTCCTCTAGGCCTAATTAGACTGCCTACTTTTTTTTTTTAATCAAAACTTTTTGACTTTAAAAGGTAGCGTGCTGGAAAGAGTTAAGAAACTCAAGATTTCAAAGCAAGCAATGACAACACTGGATGGGGGAAAAAACACTTTTATCTCCAAATGTGCGAGACTGTATAGGAAATTCTAAAGATGTGCTCTTTGAAATATTTTGGAATATTGCTGTTGAATTGAATTTTATGTTTTAAGTGCGAAGAACATGATATTTATTAAATAAAGGTAACGCACAAAACTTTAAAAAAATGACCCTCTGGACATAATATAAAATCTGAAAGCTTTCAGATTTTTTTTTAATTATTATTTTCATTTTTCAACTTTTTAAGAAAATGTCTTCAAATTTCACTTCGGTCTAAAGCTCCTCATACATAATCTGCTATGGCATCAACACTTATTCCTACTATACAATAAATTATACTGCTAGGAATTAATGCTTTAACAGCTTTGAGTTTTTATTATTACTAATTTATATCAGTTTTAAACATTATTGTATATTTGTATTGGATTTTTGTGTTTGTGTTTATTTGAAATATGTTTTGATTTTTTCATAATGATGTATTAATATTTTATCTTTCAGATATCAAGCATTTTCAAAGTTACTTTCAACAACATCTTCTGTATATATGGATAATCTTTTTAATATTTTACATAACTTATTCTACATTTTATGGTAAAGAGCAGTTATAAGTGATAATTCTAATAAGTTTTCTTTTACTGCAAGGTATGTTTTAGGTTTTTTTTCCAATTCTTATTGAATTTTAACTTTAAATTCACCGCTTTAGAATTTAGAAATTGAATTTTTATTGTAATAAATTTATTCCAGTATAACAGTTTTCTTTGCATATATTGCACCTTAAAACTTTTGTATCTTATTTCTTCTATTTACTAAATATTTATTTTCTCGTAAATCTTGATTTTTTCTCAAATAATAAATTATATGTCTTGCTTCTTTTCCTCTTTTCTTAATATTTATGTAATGTATTTTCTAAATTTATGTGTTTATCTTTAAAAGGCTCAATTTTGGATTTTTAGTTTTCTTACCTTCATTTCTCTTGTACTTGGCAGTTTTACCCTAATTTATATTTTATTAAAAAGTAATTTTTTAGTATTTTTTCTTACAGCTTAGTGATGAAAGCTAAGTCTGCAGTAAAATGAAAAAAAGAAAATAAAAAACAAGAAAAAGAAATAAAAGTTCTGTGAAAAAAATGTAAAAATTTGTTTTCTTGTTTCTGTGTAAATTTCTTGTGTCTGTACTTAGAAATTAGCTATGCTGAAAAGGTTTTCAGAGCCTTCATAGTAAAATATATATTGGACAAAACTTAGATAAATTTAATCTTACTATTAAGTATATATTTAAAATTCTAATTACTGATAGTCAGGTTTCAATGCAAAACTTCAGGAAAGTTTCATGTAAAAATAAATATGTAAAGGAAAAGGCACTTGGGAATGGCTTAGTATTTCAGGGGTAATTGTTGATTTTTGAAAGTCATTGCAATGCACTTAAATGATGCACTTCTTGTAATTAAAATTTCATTGTAAATCATGCCCACAAAACTCCTTCCTAATCTGGCTTTTATTTTTTCAACCATTGATCATAGATATGTACTTTCAGTTACAAAAACATTTCAAATGATGCAAAGATTCATGTTTTTAAAGAGGTTAATTTTTTACAAAATGTAAAATTTGACTTCCCCTGGTTTTTATATGTAGGAAAGTCTTGCAGTCTTTATAAAAAACAAAACACAAAAAGTTTGGTTCCCATGCGACAAAAAATTTAATAAAATATTTATCATCGAAATTTGGGTTTTCTGATACCATTTTCAGCTTGCCTTAAAAGATGCATTAATAAATTACAATAATTCGAGGTTCATTCTTTTTCCATTCACTAATACTCTTTTATAGTTTACTTGCGTAGCGTTCTCTTATTTATACTTTTATTACAGTTGATAAGCTGGAAGAATTTTCACACAGTTCAGAAGTTTTGAAAGATTAGAAATATTTATTAATATTCTCATGCAGTTTTATTACTTTAGAATACTAATCTAAAAATTATGAAAACATTCCTCAAACTAGAAATATATTTAATTTATGCAAATAAGATTACGAGTTGGCAGTATGACACTACTGAAGCCTATCAATTTTTTCAAGAACAAAAATTCTGCAAGTTTATGAGAATAAGATCTCATTGGAGAAAAGTTATTGTTTTTCACAATAATATGCATAGAAACGCTCGTTAGTTAATCTATTAATGTGAGAAATCATTTCCTAAAATGATATTTTATTTTAATTAACTTATTAATTTATGCATAATTAACTTATTAAATGCAGATGCTTCGCTTTTCAGTTTATGCTGCGTTTTTAATTTTTTATACATTTAAATCTATTCCTTCCAGGGCATATGATATTTAGAATTGATCCTTTACTTCTAAATATTGAATACAGATGGCAACAGATGCCAGATTAAAGCATGCAGCACTTTTATTTAACTCTGCTCTTAAAGATCGAAATTATGCCATTTTAAAAATAAAAATATTCTAAATAATATAAATACAGCTTTAACTTAAAGTAAAATTAGGGGGGGATTCATTTTTGCTGTCATTCGACACTCTCGCAATGCAAATGCCACCTGCCTTGAGAATGGTTTGCATTTCATTAATGAAGGTATGGGAAATTCTTGCAACAACTGTGGGAATGTTTTTTTATACAAACTTTCTAAAATCTGGTAATGTATTTGTATGGTGTGTTTATTGCGAACATGTGCTGTAGGGTTGAAAGGATTCTTGCCTAATTTTGTATTTGTGAGAAGTGTCACATTTTCTGATTGTGTTTTATCGCAGGCATTTGCAATTCATTTGGATCTTCATTCATATAGTTTTTCAAACAAATTTTGTTAGATTTTATTACAGTATATTAGTTCAGGACTTATAAAGTAACTATATGTTGTAGATAAATTTTATACATTGCTGGCCACCCAAACTGAAGAAAGACGAGATATCACAACAAAATTTATATAGTAGATAACATATTGACCAAGTATCAAATGATTAAATTTATAGACTTCAGTGAAGTATTATTCCTTCCAGAATCAGTAGCCGTCATTGTTGAAAATCGCCACTGCCATACGCTTCGGCATTGATTCAAAGAGACTTTGTATGTGTTCTTGGGGTACAGCAGACCAAGGAGTTTCCACACGTTGCCAAAGTTGATCTGGTGTGGCAGCTTGGGATGTAATCTGGGTCAATCGTTCAGCAACCATGAACCACGTGTTTTCTATCGGCGAAAGATCCGGAGAGCAAGCCAGCCAGGCAAGCAATTCAATCTGGCAATTGATGAAGAACCCTTGGACAATGTGTGCCACGTGTAGTTGCACATTATCCTGTTGAAATATGGCTGTGGGCAAGCCCTGAAGGTAAGGAAGGGCAACTGGCTCCAACACCTTGGAGATGTAGCATTGGCTGTTTAAAGTATCGACAATGCATATTAGAGGAGTGCAAGAGTGATATCCAATACCGCCCCATACCATAATACCCTGTGCAGGACCAGTGTGGCGGTGCATAACGCAGCTGTTCAGCATCCTTTCCACAGTGCCTCCAGACTCGAATCCGACTATTGTGGTGTTGCAGACAGAAGCGTGACTCGTCAGTAAAGACAATTTCATTTCATTCTGCCGTCCATATCCTTCTTTAATCGCACCATTGGCGTTGGAGACGTCTGTGTTTCTGCGTCGAGGGTAGACGAAGCAATGGACGTCTTGCGGACAGACCACTCTTCTGTAAATGGTGTCGAATGGTACACACAGACACTGGATGATGCATTACAGACTGAATGTGCTGTGCTATGGTTTGTGATGTGACTAAGGGATCTGTCACTACCATGCGCACAATGTTTCTGTCATCACGTGAAGTGGTGCACTGAGGTGGATACGATCGAACACGTCGGTCCGTCATACCCTCCTGCATCCAGAGGTGGATGCGATCGAACACGTCGGTCCCTCGTACCCTCCTGCATCCAACGGTCACATATCTGCATTACAGTTGTTTGGTTTCATCCAACATGACTACCAATTTCCCTGAAAGATAATCCACACTCTCGGTAGCTCACTATCCTTCCTCTGTCGAACTCTGATTACTTGATCAAACGATGATCGCTGTTTACTTCAAGGAATAATTGATCCTTTTTTTTTTTCAAACCACAAGAAAAACACAATTGTCGAACTTGAATTTGTCTAAAACTCCAAGCTTTAAATAGTGCTTTGAAGTGGTGCCATAGGTCCACGTGATGTGCGTCTGCGCTGAAATTCTAATCATTTGCATATCTCACCTCCGCTAATGCATGGTGTAAATTTCATTTTATTTGCATGCTTCCTTCAGTGTGTTGCATTTATGGTGGCCAGTAGTGAATTTTATTTATTTAATTTTCTTTACATTTCGTTTATTTTGCTGAATTTTGAAATGGTACATAAAGGACTTGATATATCTGAGTCTTCAGCTGTGTTTGAATAGATTCTGTTTGATTCAGAATCTAGGCATCTGAAGATGAAAATTTTGAAGAGGAAAGTATTCTTCCTGCTGCTGATGGGGATTGCTTGGTTATTGAGACTGTAGTGGAGTAAGAAGAAAGTGATGAAGATGTTGAAATAAATTTTCTGGGCCTCTCAAGTGTTATGGAAGTGACATGGACTGCTAAGGCCAATGTTCAAAAGTATGTTTTTGACTTTTCTGAAGAGAGCATGGTCCAATGGAGGAAATTACTGACATGGAAAAATCTTTCACCCATCAGTTTATTTTTCCATTTATCAAGAAAAATGTTTTTCAAACAAATATATATGTGAAATTGAAATATTCCTCTCCCCCATAACTGCATCACATATGTGCTTTTCTTGGATTGAACCTTTTGATGGGAATCAGAAAACTGCCAAGTTAGAGATTTTGTATGACCCATATGTATGAAAACATATGTCAGTAAAAAAGTTCTTGTGGATTTTAGGGTATTTGCATCTCAATGACCACATTCTCATGTCAAAATGAGAAGAGGAAAATTTTGGTTAACTGTATAAATTGTGTAAACTAAAAGTTACTGCACTGAACTTTTTTTACTTTGTATAAAACAGGTAAAATAAATCAATAAATGAATCAGTGGTCTAGTTCAACCCATTCGGGACTGGTGTGTTATATAAACATCGGCCACCAAATATATCACCGAACGAAGTGTTTCATGTATGAATCGCCATTTAAGTGCACTGTCAAGGCAGATGAATTTTTTGATAAACATTTAATTAGTGTCTTTCTTTGCCACTGTATGTAGTCCTGTTATGGTGGAATTTATCAAGAGTAGAGAATGCTGACCTTCATTTCCTAGCAGTATTTTCTGTTTTTGGTGTTTTGTTTTAGAATCAAAGTGGAAATCGTGGTTTGAGTAATATAAATGAACAGAGCTGTGTATTAAAAATGGGTCTGCTGATATAAGTGCATGGGGATGTTCTCGATGCTTTTAATCACTTTATTTATTTTTGGTAATATGATATATATGTTTTAGAAGTTAATTCATTCTGCTTAAAGTTTGGCTTTCATTGAGGCGAATATTTTGTGCATCATTTAGCAAAGCACTTTTTATACTTCAAATGTCGAGAAAAATATGAAATTTTTCAAATAAATTCTGACAACTATGTAAGGGTTCTCATAACTTGGCAAAAATTGGAAACAATTCAACCACAAACTTAATTTATGTAAATTTTTTCCCAACATTAGGTCTAGCAGCACTAATTCCCATCGCAGCAAAGCAGTGAATCCAGTCAGTGGGCCATCTCAAGAGAGTGGTTGGGGGACTGTGCCTGTCCTGAAAGGGTTAAAGAAAGAAGTTCAGTAAAATAGTACATGCCAATCAAAAGAGGATACAAAGTTTGGATGCATTTTGATGAGAGTGGTTATGATTAGCCCTTTGAAATATATTTGGGAAAGAATGTATAAATTGGAAGAAACTTGGGTGAACAAGTTGTTAAAAGTCTGTGTGGAGTATTATTTAGGATAGTGTGGTGTATATGAATAATTTACTTGATTATTTAAGAACTGTTTCAGTTTCTTGAAACTAAAGATGAGTTTTGTAGTGGAACAGATAATCTAAACAAGAATTCCAAAGATTCTTACTGAGGATAAAAAACTCAAATGACTGGGCTGTTAGCGATGATGAATTTATGTGTGTGATATGGAGAGATAAA